TATTCCATGGTGGCTTCCACTCCCTTTTGACACACTTGACTATTAGGAGCGAGTCAGACTCTCCTATAGCCATCTTTAGATCTCTGTCCACACACCATTTCAGTCCAAAGAGAAGTGCTTCTGCTTCTGCGTAGTTGCTAGTGCCTTCTCCTAGAGGGATGAAGTATGCCATGATAAACTTTCCTTCTTGATTTCTAATAATTCCTCCCCCTCCACATTGCTCGTTAGAGCAACTTCCATCACTATTCAGCTTGACTATTTGCGCAGGTGGTCTGAGCCATCGCACTGTGATATTGCTTGTCTGTTGGATCTGTGCATCACAAGCTGCGTATAAGCTACTCCAGTTGTCTCCAATGTGTAATCTAGTAAACTGCTTCTTGATCATCTGCAAAATGAAAGAAGTGACATTAGAACAGGTTCTATGCATTGAGGGTCTAGTCCCCTCATATTTGTTTCCACATCTTGATCTCCAAAGTTCCCAACAAATGATATGTGGGAGGTTTTTGGTAATGTATCTCGAGATTGGATTTTGTGATTTGTGGTTCCACCAGGTTAGAAGGGTCATGTTCAAGTTATTGAATTTCCAACCAATACCCAATGGCCCCGCAAAATTCCTCCACATCTTCCTTGCAAGTTCACCTTGGTAGAATATGTGATTAGTGTCTTCCAGATCAGTTCGACTATTGGTAGAGTTACAGTAATAGCATTGGGGAGTTAGAGTAATTCCAAGTCTGGTTACACTCTTGTCTGTGTAGAGTTTGTTACCAACTGCTCTCCATAGGAGGAAAGACATCTTGAAAGGAATGTCCTTAGTCCATAAGTTCTTATAGAGAGGATTGTGGTCTTTTCTTTGTGTAATAGCATTCCAGGTGGAGCTAATGATAAATTTTCCAGATTTGGAAAGTCTCCGGTTGGCTGTATCATAGCAATTGTTTTATAATTCAATGCCTAAGGATAATAGATGAGATTTGGTGTCTTCATTTGGTTGAATGGTGAGGGAGTTCCAGTTCCATATGTTGTTCTGAAGTATCTCATTCAACTTGATGTTTGGTAATGGGACCTTATGGGTAGTAATCATATACAAAGGACCTAATGGGCACCAGTTATCAAACCAGAAGGAGACATCCCCTTTTCCAATATTCCAGTCAATATTAAGCTCCATTTCTTCTTTGATGTCGCATATGGTTTTCCAATTTTGCGAGTTCCCCTTATTCCACATAATGGTAATAGGATGATTCGATTCACAGTACTTAGCTATCATGAAAGATCCCCATAGCGAGTTTGAAGTTCTCAGATTCCACCACTGTTTTGCTCTAAAGGCCTTACACGTATCACTTTACCTCCTAAAATTAGCTCTTCCTTCATCATAAGGATAGCACAAATTTTTAAATGCAGCCCACTGATACTTCCCTCCACTATCTTTTCCGGACTAGAAGAATCTTGCTATAAATTTCTTAATGAACTCTATAGTTCCCTTTGGTGGGTTTACAGCGGCCAAGAGGTGAATAGGGAGGGCCAGGAGGACATGTCTAATGAGGATTGCTCTTCCTCCAGTTGAGAGGAGTTTGGTATTCCAACCTCTGATTCTTCCGATGATTTTGTTCACACTATCTAAATAAAATTCGTTCTTCTTCCTTCCTATTGTTAGAGGACATCCCAAGTATTTAATAGGGAATTTTTTATATTTCATGCCAGTGATAGCCTTCATTCTATTGATAGTGACCAGGCTAGTCTTGTGGCTCATTGCAAAACATCTCTTGTTCTTATTGATGAGTTGCCCAGAGATCTTCTCATATTCCTTTAAGGTGCTCAATACCAATCTCATGGACCTCTTGTTTCCATTAAAGAAAAGAATAGTGTCATCTGCAAAAGAAAGATGATTAACTTTAGGACAGTTAGCCTTCATGTAAAAACTTTTGTATCCCACTTTACTAGTAAGATTGTTCAACATTTGTGAAAGAAATTCAGCACTTAGAATGAAGAGAGAAGGGGAGAGAGGGTCTCCCTGCTTTAAGCCCCTCTCAGAGTGAAAAAAGCCATTTCTTCTTCCGTTAACCAACACAGAATACCAATTGTTGGAGATGTATTTATGAATAATCTCGATCCATTGGTCAGTGAACCCCATCTTCTTAAGAACTTTTGTGAGGAAACTCCATGAGACTCTATCATATGCTTTGGTCATATCAAGTTTCAGGACAACATTGCCTCCTCTATTTGGTTTGTTGATGTCGTTGATGATCTCTTGTGCAAGGAGTATGTTTTCTGAAATTGATCTCCCTTTAACGTATCCAGATTGGTTCCTAGAGATAATTCTGGGAAGAATGTTGGAGAGCCTGGCGTTGAGAATTTTAGAAATAATTTTGGAAGACAAATTACAAAGGCTGATAGGCCTGAGGTCAGAGAAACTTTGGGGGTGATCCACTTTAGGAATCATGACAATACAGGTGTGAGTGTAGAATTTGGTAAGGGTTGAGCCACTAAACACAGCTTTAACAGCATTATGCACATCCTCATCTATGATGTCCTAACATTTATGGTAGAACATCTCACTGAGTCCATCAGGTCTTGGTGAGCTATTGACATCAATGGATAATATAGTCTGAGTGACTTCTTGGAGAGTGGGGATAACACTTATTCTAATGCTATCTTCTTCTGTAATACATCTTTCAATGCAGTCCAGGGCCCTAAAGTCTGAGTTGTTGGGGCCTTCAGAGAAAAGGTTCTTGTAAAAGTTCACAGCTCCCTCAGATATAGATTCACAATCCACAAGCCAGTTGCCCTCGCCAACTTGGATCCTTCTAATTGTCAGTTTCCTCCTTTTGTCTTTGATAGTCACATGGAAGTAAGCAGCATTGGTATCGCCCTCATTGAACCATTTGATTCTAGCTTTTTGGCTCAAAATAGAGTCATGAATCTTTAAGTATCTTATAAACTCAGCTTTATTCTTTAACAGTTCGCTTCTATTCTCTGGGGTGTTGTTAATCATGCAGTTTTCTTCCAGATCACTAATTAGGCTTTCCAATCTCTTAGGTTCTTCATAGATATCACCAAAGGTAGCCCTAGACCAAGTGCTAAGGGCCTTAATAGTGTTCTTGATCTTCTGCTGAAGGATATATAGGGGGTTACCATGAATGTAGATGTTCCAGCTGTTCTGAACTGTCTGTTTAAAATCAGGGTGTTCTGTCCAGAAGTTGAGGAACTTGAAGTATCTGGTTCCTTGGGTATCTTCATGGTGAAGCTTAACCAGGAGAGGCGCATGATCTGAGCAAGATCTAGATAGGTGAGTTACAGCAGTGTTGTTGAGTTCATCAAACCAATCTAAATTGTAAACCAATCTGTCAAGTCTCTTCCATATTGTGAGGGGTGGATCCCTGTTATCGCACCAAGTCACTTTAGCACCAGTGTAGCCTGCATCTTGTAGGCCACAGTCATTGAGACATTCTATGAAATCAAGGCTCTCCTCTAATCTATGAGGTCTGCCTCCCAATTTCTCCTCTCTGTTCGTAATCACATTAAAGTCACCTATGACTCCCTATGGTTCTTGAATTGTAGAAGATAAATTCCTTAAGTCAGACCACAACTCCCTCCTCAATTCTTCAGAGCATTTAGCATAAGCAATCGTTAGAAGAAAGGAGGGGCAGTTATTGTGCTCAGCTTTGATATGAACATGTTGTTCTTTGTCTTGAAGGATAGTAATGTTGATGTCATTGGTCCAAAAGATCCAAACCTTGTTGGAGCAATTAAAGTATGCTTTTTCCATTCCCAGCTTTCTTTTGAATTTCTCTATCTTGTTACTATCCATCATAGGTTCTTCTAAGCAAATGAGAGGGAGTTGATATTGAAGTTTTAAAGCTTGGAGTCTTTCAAGAGATCCTTTCGACCCTATACCTCTGATGTTCCATGATATAATACTAATCATGAGAAGTTCAAGGGTGGGGGGAGCTTTGGCCTGGTGTTGAGGAGTCAATCGACTCGTCTCTAAAATAATCGCTACCTCCCATGTTGTCCTGGTTTCTTGGAGACATGTTGTTGTTGGTAATAAGCTTTGTCTGTTCTTTGCCTTGCAAGCCTAGTTCCTCCACAGAGTAGGGTTTATTGATATTTCCCCTTATCACTTCATCATCCGATAGTGACTTTTCTAGTTCGACTTCAATGCATTCCATGAATAGTTCCTGGTTAAGGTAGTCACCATGAACTGTCTCCCTATCCTGCACTAGATTCACAGGGACATTATACAGCTCTTCCATTGAGTCTGGGGGTTTAGCTTCTGGTTTTTGCTGGTTATTCCCCTCTTGTTCCTTTAGAGTATCCCGATCCCGAGCCTTTATGGTCAGGTTAGTCATTTTTTCAGTAATGTTGTCAATGTTATGAGTTAGCAGGAAGTTGATATAGGTCCTTTGGTGAGCACTCTTCTCCCCGTTAGTAGCTGCCTCCTTAGTGGTGTATACTTTGTCCTTGAGTTTTTGTTTTTTGGAAGTCAGTCTTTTGCGATTATTTGCATCATTTCTGTTTAAATATTCCTTGTTGCCTTGTGTTTGTTTTCTTGTCCTCTAAGTAGGTCAGGTGATCATTTCTATTTTTTCGGACTCTAAGGTTGTGGTGATGTATTTCATTTTTGTTCTGTTTTCTTTCCCTTGCTTTGTTGTCTTGTTCTCTGTCCCATCTGGAGTTGCTTCCAAAGATGAAGGTGGAGTCTTCTCCAAGTTTGTTTTGCTCACTGTTCTCCTCATGTAGATTAGTTTTCCTCAATTGATCCCCTATTTCCATTTCCACAAGATGATTGAACATATTGTGATTCAGCTGCAGATTGCTATTTTGATTTGTGTCTTCAGTTCCCCACAAGTATGTGTTCTCACTGGTGAGGTAGACCCCTTAGTGTTATTTTTGCCTTTTCCTTTTCTCTTGTCCACTTGTGTCCATCCCTCCCCTAATGTTGCTGGGGTAGACTTGGTCTCTTATTTGTTGTTCATGTTTGTGTCAATTTCCATTTGGTGGCTTCTCTATATGGTATTGACCATGCTATCTGTGGCCATCATAGGAATATTGACATTTCCTTTATTGCTTTGATTGTTGTTGTGACTCGCCCTTTGTTGGTCGCTCATTCCTTCATCATTTCTCTCCTTGGGTTGATCATCAACTTGAGCAGTTTTGGGGGCCTTTTGACAACCCTCAATTATGTGTCCTTGAATTCTGCAGTGAGAGCAAAAAAGGGGGACTGTTTCATATTCAATTTTTTGATTGAATGTTTCTACAATACCTTCTGGGTTCTGAATGGTCACTTGAACATCCGTGATTAGAGGTTTCAGGAGATCGATCTCGATTCTCATCTTGGCTGTCGTTGGTCTTGTTTTTGTCTGAGTAGCTTTATCCATGACAATAGCAGTTCCAATAGGCCCAACAATCCTACATAGAGATGCCCACTCGTAGTAGTGCCATGGAAGATCTGGAAGGTTTATCCAGACTAGAGCTAGGGATGTATTCTTATTTGATTTGAAATTGGGAATCCATCTCTGAATTTTCATGGAGTGGTCTTCGCTAAGCTGAACATAGTTGTATGAAGCTATAAATTTGTAATCTTCCTCATTCTCAGCATCAATAAATACATGTTTTGCATCTTTTGCCCCAATTTTCACTTGCCCTTTCGTCGGCATAATTCTAGCGAAATCTGCCCTAATCTTGTCAATTTAGGGGAGATTTCTGTCAAAATATCCTACGAGAGTCCATTTGCATGTCTCAGCTAGAAGGTCATGTTCCTTTTTCGTGAAAGTGACAGCTGGTTTCCCATTGATGATTTCATGCTTTCTGTGTTGAAGTCTTATTTTGCCTTTGTTAGAGGATTGGGTCTTTAGCCCTAGAGCTCCTCTGTAGGAAGTTTGTTCTTCATTGTTGGGATTTTGCCCCAAATTCATCTGATGAGAAGTTTGGGTGTGGTTTCTTTGAGGGTTTGGGGTAAGAGGTGGGAATTCTGTGGTGTCTGGTGGGTCTGGGAGTTTGTGGGGGCTCGTTCCTGGTAGAGGAGCTAAGGAACTCATGGCTGAGTTCCGCTTGAATTAGCCGTTTCCAGCGGAAATTGACCGTTATCTAGGTGAGAGAAATTAGTTAAGTTGACGCTGAAGGATACCCTCTGTCAATAAACACATTCTCACAACACTACTCGAGCTAGTAAGGTGAATATGAGAGCTGGAAATGTGAATTCTTACTTATGAATTAACTACATAGATAGATTCAAATTCTTCTATTTAAATAAAAGACAAAAATATGGTAAAAATAAAGAAACTAAAACTAAATAAGTGGACTGCATTCTATTTTCAACATATGCTTCTTCTCCTATTGTTTTCCTTCATTGGTTTTTTTTCTTTCACTGTTCTTTTCCTTTATTATTCTATCGTCGATCTTACTCTAAATTATCTATCCCCTAAATAAGCTCTATTTGAGAAAAATCTCTACTTGTCTTCGATCCTCTAATTTAAAATAATTTTTTTCTTAGTCTAGTATGTTTTTCTCTTTCCCCTTTCTTCCTCTTTTGTACCGCTACTTCCAAGTAAGTAATTATTTTCTTCTTTCTTTCTTTTTCTCTCTGTTTTATGTGGTTGGTCCGAGAAAATCAGAAACTTTAGCCCCCTAACTCCTTCATGTCATACAAATCTATATTTTCTTCTCCTAATTCTGAAGAACTCCAAAAACAATTGCTTCTTCTATTTCAAGCTTTTTTTCCTTTATCATAGTAATAAGAAGTAAAAAATATCTAATTGAACACTTCGGGTTACGAAATAAAATTCGTCTGAGCAATCACTTAAAACTTAAGGGTCAATGAGACAATCTCAATCATTTATGCGCAGTTATAAAAAAGCAATTAGAAACAAATAAAATTCTATATTAGAGGGACACTAAAAAATTCTGAGAATACTTTTTTCTAACTTGAAGAAATAAAAAAAATAGGTTACAAAAAACCTTGTACACTGCATTCAATCTATAGGCAATAAAAATATTTCTTCAACATAACAGGAAAAAAAAGGTTGATAGTAGTGATACACAATGTACCAATACTTACGCATTAGCCAAACTTGACAGATGCAGTAACATGCTTCCAATTCCTTCTTTCGACTCATATTTTAAATTTTAGGGGTAAAAATGACTCCGCTATTAGTTCTTTACTAATTCAACAAAGAGCCTTTACTAACCCCTACTCTACTCTTTTAAATTTTTCTTCATCCTTAAACTCATTGACCATTCTCCCAAACATTTTACAAAGTCAGAATGAAATAAAAGGAGCCAAACAATAGAAAATGTAACATGAATATCTCATAATTAAACCTTTTCAAGAAGTTCACTGTCGTAGACATACAAAATTTATTGAATTTAAATTCAATAAAATATCTGGACTATATATAAATATATTAGTTCAAATAAATATTATAAGCTAATATAATTGAATTAATTATATATGTCCAATGTATATGGATTAAATAAATAAGTCTTGATCCATTGGGCTAGCCCATTTAATTGGGCTAAAGTGATGAGCCCACTTCATTAGGCCCAAAATGTCATCTTCCTAGAAGCCCAGTTTGGTGCCACGTGCCAAATGACGTGGCGCGCCAAGTCAAATGGAAGAGCCAATAGGATCATGCCACGTGTCAAAATGACAAGGCATGCCAAGTCACACTAAAAGGCCAATGAAATCGTGCCACATGTGCAAGTGACATGTTCTGGCCAATCAAATGCAGTCATGTCACATTTCAATTTGATTGGTTGGAAAGAGTTTGTTCTTATCACAATTCCTCCCTTTCACAACTATAAATAGGGGTCTTCATAACCCAGAAAACACACCAGAAGTTATAACAAGAAGCAAGAGAGAGCTCGTGGATCAAACACCGCAAATTTCTCTACAAGTTTCAAGCTTCAAGCAATCAAGTTTAAAAAATCAAATTCACGCTCAAGAACGAAGAAAAAATCAAGTTCAAGTTCAAGAACGACGAACAAATCAAGCGATCAAGCTAAAGCTGAAGAACAAGATCATCGTTCGTGGCAACAAATACATATTCAAGATCAAGCTCAAAGGCCCTTGAATTTATTTACTATTAAAAATAAGAATCAGAGGATTCATAGAGATTGTACACTCAAATATTCGAAATCAAATACTACGATTGTTGCGATATTTTCGGTCTTGATTTTATTTTCTTGACGCAAATTTATTGTCTACAAATTCTGGCACGCCTAGTGGGACAATCTCTACCTCTCAACTCAACTTTTCAATCACCAAAATTCAAGAACATTGAAATGGCTTCGAATAAAATCAACTTCAGATCAACATCCACCAAGGCTGCTAACTCCAGGTTCTATGCTGATGTGGAAAGCATCCTCGATGTCACCTTTGGAAGCTTTGGACCAGTTACGAGGAGCAAAGCAAGCTCTTTAGGACAACAAGCACCCTAAGTGTCGTCCGCATCAACCCCTGTTTTCGGATCTTCATCCTCAAAAGGAGCAAGATCTTCCATAAACGCATCTGAAGGAGGAAGCGATGTTGCTGAAAAGATCAAGAAAACTCTTGCTCTGCTTGACCTCTCCGGCTCCAAGCACTCTGCTGTGAAGGAAGATGATGATGCTTCAAGCGATGGATCCTCCCCACTTACACCACATAGCGTGAGCCAATCAAGGATCAATCTATGTGAAAATCCATGCTACTCTCCGTCATCCTTGACAATCATGCAAGCCATTGTGACAAACACTTCATCTATGGAGGAGCAGTTGGCAAACATGACGGAAGCAATCGCTGGCTTGACCAAATGCATGCAAAATCAAGAGGCTAGAATTTACAAGCTAAAAGAAAGGGTGGGAATCTTGATGGAAGAAGAATCTACCCATGCACCCGGCAAGCTCCCAGAAGTTCTAGAGAGTGACTCTCCCCCAAGACAAGCAGCATCCACTAAGGCTATCCCTGTCTCATCTGAAGGGATGATTCCAATCGATCAACTGAAGGAGTTCATCGAAGGAACCATTAAGAACAAATACGAAGTTGCTGCCAAATCCTCCCTTACATATGCAAAGTTGTACACTGCAAGGGTCGATATGTTGAAGATGCCTACTGGCTATCAACCTCTGAAGTTTCAACAGTTTGATGGTAAAGGTAACCCAAAGCAACATGTTGCACACTTCGTGGAGACGTGCAACAATACTGGGACTTATAGAGATTACCTCATCAAGTAGTTTGTCCGCTCGCTAAAAGGAAATGCTTTTGACTGGTACACAGACCTCGAGACTAGATCTATCAATGGATGGGATCAACTAGAGCAAGAATTCCTCAATTTCTTTTATAGCATAAAACGCACGGTGAGTATGATAGAGCTTACAAATACTCGTCAACAAAAGGGGGAACCAGTTATCGACTTTATCAATCGTTGGAGGAATGCAAGCCTCAACTGTAAAGATAGGCTTAGTGAAGCTTCAGGCATAGAGATATGCATCCAAGGCATGCATTGAGGATTGCGCTACATCTTGCAAGGTATCAAGCCTAGCACATTTGAAGAACTTGCAACTCGTGCCCATGACATGGAAATGAGCATGGCCTCCGCTGGAAATGAAAGGCTACCCATCTATGAACCTCGCAAAGAGAATGAAAAGCAAGAAGTCAGGAAGTGGGGCAAGCTCGTACCCAAGTCTGAAAGCAAAGAAGCTATGAATGTCAATACGTCACCTATGAAGTTCACGACGAAGGTGAGCAAGAACCAGAGTATGAAATCCACTTCTTTTCAAGACAAGCCAAGTAGAAAGTTGACTCTAAAAGAAATGGAGGAAAAAGCGTACCCATTCCTGGATTCTGATGTGCTAGCCATTTTCGAAGAACTCCTCGAGTTAAATCTCATTGAGCTTCCGGAGATGAAGCGACCAAATTAAGCTGGGAAAACTAATGACCCAAACTAATGCAAATATCACCGACTTGTAAGCCACCCTCTGGAGAAGTGCTTTGTCTTCAAGGATAAAGTCATGGATTTGGCTTGCAAAAAGAAGATCGTGCCTGAAGATGAGAAAGCAAGCGCAAACCAACTCTCTATCACCTTTGGCTCATTTAGTCCGGATGACTTATGTGGTTTTAAAGAAAGTAAAGATAAAGAATTACTGGAGAGCGACAAAGCTAAAGTCAATCAACCTGATGATGATGAAGGTTGGACATTGGTGACTCATCGTAGGCACCACAAAAGGAGCCCACGAAAAGAATCAATAGAACAACCAACAAGAAAGATGATGGTAAAAAGACCAACGAAAAAAAATCCAGTTAGGCATTTGAAGAAAGCAAAAGTGGAGATGCACCATTCTCAAAAGCCGCAAAATCCAGTGACCTTGGAGGAGTTTTTACCAAGTTGGTTCCGCACGAAGATTTCCCATGAGGGCATTGATGCCTCTTGTTGCCATGCTGACAAAGGGGAAGAAAAGAGTGATGACCTACCGTTGGCACTATCTTCGGAAAAGCCCATCGAGTCCACTCCTCAAGAAGTTAATGCTTGTGAGGAAAAGGTCACATTCACAAATGACGATTTTTTGCTAGGTGACACTTCTCATAACCGCCCATTGTACCTGGTTGGCTATATGAGCGATGAAAGGGTAAATCGGATTTTAGTTGATGGAGGATCCTCAGTGAACATTTTGCTAATCCACA